TTGTTTTAATAATATATATGTAAATTTAACTGATCTGCAGTAAAAAGTTGTGCACTAATTGAAATAAGTCAACATTTTTACTAATTCAGATTTGAAACATATGCATGTGTTCGATTTAAATAAATTCTTTTAATCATCTAATAAAATAGTAGCAAATGTTACGCGCGTAATGTGCTTTTCCGTTTATTATTATTATGCAAATCACAAAACTTTTTAATTTCAAATATGAACTTATGAATAATTTCAAATTCAAACTTTTAAAAAATTCAATTATTAACTAATTTACTAATTTATTATTTTTGTTTATTATTTCAAAAATTTTTAATAAAATTCCTCGCGCAAGAATTAAATTATTCTCCTTAATAGTAATATTCTTTGTAAGAATTATTATTACTTAGATAAATAATAAAACTTATTGCAGAATTTCAATTACTTTTTTAAATAATAAAATCTTTGCAAAAATTTAATTATTTTCTAAAATTTTATAAAAGAATTACAGAAATTTAATTGAAGCCAATACTGAATCAGTACTGGTAAGCCAATTGCTGGCATGCCAGTACTGGTGCAATACTGTGCCTGTTGTGAATACTGGAATTTGACAGAAATTTTTTCTTGGGGGGGAGTCATTATGTAATACCTTTCTGATTTAGTAAAATTCAGAAAATTCTATACTAATTTAATTTTTATTATGTATTAGCCTCTTGTTGAAAATCCGAGACAAGACTAATATAAGTCTCGATCTCATCTTGAATTTTTTTCTGTCGTCTCGGTCTCGATATTGAAATTCAAGACGAGATCGAGACTTTTCTCGTCTCGTGTGCAGTCCTAGTAATTATGACTGTAGAATGTATGGGGAAGAATATAGAAATAAAAACAATATTACATTTAATAATCATAATATTTCAGTGGGGTGTTTTAGGAATCTTAAATTAATATTAAAATGTCAGCAATTAAAATACGATTAAATCTTATGTTTGGTAAAAAAAAGAAGAAAAGATGGCAAATTTTTTTTAATTTTTAAGTTTTGGAATATTCTCTCAACATCAATCTGGAATATTATTATCGTTATATAAGTATTAACCGTGTGAAAATCTGCCCATGTTGGCCCAGGTAAAAAATGGGGCCCAGCTAGCTTCCACCTGGGCTTTCCAGTTTTTTAAAAATATTAACACAATAATAAAAAAAAGAGTAAAAATTTAATATAACTAATGATAATAACTTATTTTACAATTAATTTGTATTAATAATAATCATTATTTGTTTAATCAATTTATTATTGTTAACTCTACTAACTTTTATTGTAGTACACTAACAGAGACACTTAGTTTTTTCAAAATTCTGAAATTTATCCTGCTAAATTTATAAATTTAATTAATAACTGATCAAGGCATAACTGTTTTTTATACGTTTGGACAATTTTTATAGAATTATTTAAACAAATAATTGTTAATTAATAACTCTTGAAACAAACTATCTAGAAACATGCAGTTTTCTTTCTAATTTTGCAATTAACTAATGCGAACTACATGAAATAAAGATAATTTATGGTTTCAACAATTCAGAAAATGTTTAAACAAATATTTGTTGTTATTTACTAACTTTTAACACAAAGCACCTAGAAACTTGCAGTTTTTTCTAATTTTGTAATTCACTAATCTATGTAGTAAAACATGCAGAAATTTTATGATTTTAACAATTCATCAAATGTTTAAACTAATAATTGTTGCTATTTACTAACTTCTGACACATAGCATCTGGAAAGATGCAGTTTTTTTCTTACTTTGCAATTAGTTAATCATAGCAGTTGTAATAATTGCAAAATTAAAAAAAGTCTAGGTTTCTAGTTTGTTTGTGTCATAAATTAATAGATAATAAAAATTATTTGCGAAAACTATTTCTGAATTGTTTAAATCATATGATATTCTTATTTATACTTTTTACATTAGTTAATTGCAAACTTAAAAAGAAGCTGCATGTTTCTAGGTGCTTTGTGTCAGAAATTATCAAATAACTATACAAACATTTGTTTAAACAATTTCTGAATTGCATTAGTTTGTATTACTTAATTGCAAAATTAGACAAATACTGCATGTTTCTAGGTAGTTTGTGTCAAAAAATGTTAGTTAACGTGAAAATAATTAATCTTTTGCAGTTTGAAGCCAATTTCCTTATAGATTACACTCCAAAAAAACAGTCTTTACCAGAGCATAAAATTTAACAATTATTTTGACTTAAATAAAACTATTTCCAAAATTCCATAGAAAATTTAAAAGAAAATTTATTTTATAAATCGTCACTTGAGAATAACCAATCTTTTGCAGTTTAAAGCAAATTTCCTTTTAAATTACATTCCAAAAAAACAGTTTTCACAAATCTAAGCATAAAATTTGACAATTTCTTTGACTTAAATGAAACTTTTTCCAAAATTCCATAGAAAATTAAAAAGAAAATTTATTTTAATAAACTTTACGTGAAAATAATTAATCTTTTGTAGTTTAAAGCCAATTAACATTTAGATTACACTCCAAAAAAACAGTTTTCACCAATCTAAGCATAAAATTTAACAATTTCTTTGACTTAAATGGAACTTTTTCCAAAATTTCATAGAAAATTAAAAAGAAAAATTATTTTATAAATCGTCACTTGAGAATAATCAATCTTTTGCAGTTTAAAGACATTTTCCTTTTAGATTACACTCCGAAAAAAAAGTTTTTAACGATCCGAGAATAAAATTTAACAATTTCTTCGACTTAAATGAAACTTTTTCCAAAATTTCATAGAAAATAAAAAAGAAAAATTATTTTATGAATAGTCACTTGAGAATAATCAACCTTTTGCAGTTTGAAGCCAATTTCCCTTAAGATTACACTCCAAAAACAGTTTTCACCAATCTAAGCTTAAAATTTATCAATTTCTTTGACTTAAATGATACTTTTTCCAAAATTCCATAGAAAATTGAAAAAAATATATTTTATGAATCTTAACGTGAAAATAATAAATCTTTTGCAGTTAAAAGCCAATTTTCTTCTAAATTATACTTCAAAAAACAGATTTTAACAATCCGAGCATAAGATTTTAAAATTTGCTGGACTTAAATGAAACTTTTTCCAAAATTCTATAGAAAATGGAAAAGAAATTTTTTTTTATAAATCGTCACTTGAGAATAATCAAACTTTTGCATTTAAAGTTTGCATTTACTTTTTTTTGTTGTAAAGAAAATTTTTTCAAAGTCTCCAAGAGTCATATAATTACAGAAAAAAACATTCTTAAATATGTATACTTTAAGAAAATGCAAAAAAACAAAAAAAATTGATTTTTCGAAAGTTACAACTGGCGTACCCCCTTTAAATCAATTAAATCAATTTAAATAATTTAAAGAATTTTTAAATGATAATTATTAATTGGTAAATTAATTTAAAAAATTAGTGATAATTATTTAAATAATTTGTAATTAATAAATGAATAATTATTACTATAACCAACAATTTAATTTAGTATTTTGTAAAAGAATAAAAAAAAATTTTGATCGACCGAGAGTTGAACGCAGACTTTCAAATCACAAGTCTTAAAGCATTACCAGTGTACGATTTCAGAAGATATTGGCCGTTTTCCCCATTTATTATTTACGGAAATTTGTTTTGACAGGCTAAAAAAATGATCCTGAAATCAATCAGAGGATTGATTTGAGGATCAGTTTTTTCATCTACTTGAAGACTAAAATTAAATTAGTATTAAAATTAATTAATTTCTTCGCTAAATGATTTTAAACAGAAAAAATGTTTTTAAATAAAAAAACAATTCTTAATGCTAGATAATGCCACGAGGGGCAGCTGCTGACAGTAGTTTTCAGATAGTGTTTTTGGAATTATGAAAGAAGTAATAGGATTTCTTTTTAGAGGGTTTATTAAATACACATTGAAGTGCAAAATTTTTTTTAATTTAAATTTTACTACAAAATGGTGGTGACCGATGCCATATTCAAATCGACAATTGTTGTATTACCAAACGGGAGGACTGTTTTCTTGAAAAGTATAAGACCTTTTACAAAAGTTAAAAAATCCATACGTACTTCCAAAGGTTATAATATAAAGATTTTTAAACTTCTTGGTTTTCGTTCCAAGTGTTATACTTCTCAAGAAAACAATCCTCTCGTTTAAGTAATAAAAAATAGTCGATTTTAAATATGAAATTTACCGATGACATTTTTTTAAACACCGAATGTAGTGTTAATTTAACACACTCCAGTTTTTTTTAGAAACCAAATGTAGTATTAAAATCTCACTGAGTTGGTTAGAAATGTTGAGTTCTTTATGAAAATGCATAACTGCAGTCCACTAGGCCAAGAATTATGAGTGCGAAGGGGTGTACACACTTTTTTTACAAAATCGCAAAAAGTTTTGAATTTTTCATTGAAATCAATATAAACTTAAACTACAAAAATTTTTGGCATATTTTTCCTGAGATCTACGAGCATAAATAAATATATGTATACGAATTTTTAACTTTCTAGGTTAAAAACTGTGATTTCGAAAATTTAGTTATAGAATATTTAATAAGAAGTAAATTCGTTTATCCAGTAAATTCGTTTATCTGAGATACTTTGATTAAGTTCCTATACACTTCCTTTTTTATAAATATATAATTTTTTTATTTTAAGATAATTAAATTGAATTTAAAAATTCTATTATTAAAAAAATTTCACAATTTTTTAAAGCTTTAAAAAATGTAGGATTTTGCACATATTTAAATATTCATATAATTAATATCTATTATTAAAACTTGTAAAGGGTATTTTGCTTTGTTTCAACAATCATAATTTTGAAAAATTGTGGCTTAAAAATATTAATCATAGAACATTAAAAGATTTAAATTTTACTCTATTCTTATAAAAATGTAAAACTCTTTAAGTTATATGGTTAACTTTAAGAAAAAACTAATTTCCGGAAAATGTATGGAAAATTTCCGGAAACACTTCCACATGAGTAAGAACTGTTTTAACAATTGTATTGATTTTTTTCAAGAAAAGTGAACTTCAATAAACCGGACTTTTTGCATTTTCCATTATTAAAAAATGTTGTCACATATTTGTAAAATCTAGAGCTGTGCAAAATAATTCGAAACGAACTGTTCGAATGTTGAAAATTTAAAATACGAGTTGAATTAGTTAGAATATCGAAAAACTGACATTTCAGTGCCCCAAAGCCGAATAAAACTCGATTTTAATCGAATTTTGCACAGCTCTAGTTAAATCCTTATCGGGCGACAACACCGGTCGTACTGTTCCTATTGCAAATTAATCCCACTCCTACAAGAGCGTCAGCAACATCCATGAAGAAATCTTCTCGATAATCTTGCGGTTGTGGAACCAATGGCTGTTCATACCTTTAAGAAAATTATAGAAAATGAAAATATTTTCTTCTCGAGACGCTTGGCGACAATCGAAGCGAAACGTCGTTAACCGGGAAGATCAGATATTAGGAAAATTATTAAAGCAAATGAATTACAAAATAGTATTAAATTAAAATTTTGTTTTACTTTTTACCTACGTCAGAGTCACTAATGGCGGATTTATTGTTCTTTTCCCTTTGCTGCATGTTAATTTAAATTCCGATTCCATTTCGATTCTTCTCTGAAATTCCGTTCTCCAATGAAGGGCTCGAACCACCGCCAGATCCTCTCAATTTCCGCTACGCTCTGAGTCTGGTGGCAAATCACCAGTTGACACATTCGGTTCCGATTTGGTGCGGGGAAATGTTTCTCCATCAATGACTGCCATTCTCCTATGTTTAAAAAAAATGCAATCAATTAGATGAAATGCTTATGAAATTTAAAAATCTGACAGGATGAAGGTAAGATCCGATGAGAAACATTAAAAATTTAAACACTTGAGAAAAAATTATGAAAAGCTTACTTTGCAGAATAGACAATTCGCCATCATTTCGTTCCAATTGTTCTAGGGTACGTGCTTCGCCCAGGATTGAAAACCAAGGACAACGCATTTTTCGCATTTGACAACCTCGCGTGCCACGGATACGTAGTGCTTCATATCAAGTATGGAAATCGTCTACAACCCTTGGTAATTTATCGACTCCCTTAAATTAAAAATATATTTCTCTAAAGAAAGGAGTTTCTTTTCTTAAATAATATTGTGGAGAACACCTAAATTGAATGCATATTGGCGAAACAGGATACAAAGTATCAAACTATATCACGCCATTCTTGAGGAATTTTGCAAGTTTGCTAAAAGCTTGCTTGGCAACAGCAAAGTTTGGTGGGCCGTGTGCAACGGATTCTCCCACTTTACCGATTTTAGTCGATTTTCCAGGGTGTGACCGATTGTCCACGACAATTAATCGAGAAGTCTTAATGAGTATTTCCCGCAGAGCGGACGTTACCAATTTTTTATAATTTGTGATTTTTTCCCGCAAAAAGGCGGAGGTTTTGTATTTTATTTCCCCAATTTTAAGGGTTGATTTTATAAAATTTGAATTAATTGAGTTTAATTGATTGCTATTGTGAAAATATATAATATTGAGTGAAGTAATGATTATTTAAAGTTGATTATAGAAGATTATAATTGAAACAAAGTGATTTATTTGAAAATATAAAGATAAAAGGAAATATTAAAGAAGTTGTTCGAGATAAATAGAGTTAAAAGTGGGAAATATTTGAGAAAACGAAGAGGAATTTATTTAAAGGCCATTAAAAAGAAAAAGAATATAAGAGATAAAAAAAAAGAGAAGTAAAAGTGAACACGTGAATATTACTACAGGTGTAACTGGAAGACACAGAAATAAGAGACTTTTCTGTCTTAAAAAAAAGAGATATAAATTCTAATAAGTTATAATTGGTGAGTTAATTAAACAATTATTCTGTAATTACTTCTACACATTTACACACACATACACTTATGAGTTAATTTCTATAAATATCATTTTCTGTCTAAAACAGAAGTATATTCATAAATTATAATTCTTTCTATTGTTACAATTTTAAGTATTGGATTTTATGCTATGAAATGTAATTTCATAAAGGGTATTTTTTTAGACCTAATCATTATAAACTAAAAGGGGTAAACATTGTAATAATGATAAAATAATATCAATTGTAATAAATTAATAGTAATCTATTGAAAGGTATTGAATAAACAGACTCTTGTGACATCATATTACACATATTACTCAGTGTCTTCATTGAAATTCTACCTTTACTATTGCCACCTTTTCCTTTTCTTCTTTCAACTAAAAATACCGTCTAATCGGAGGCGTTGAACTGATAATGTACTTAAAAGGGGGATCCTAAATTTTTAATAACAGTATTTATTTAGAAATAAATTTAACATCCATTTTTCTTACTATAAAATACTGAGCGTTTTATTGATTTAAGACTATTAAAAATTCTTTTTAATACAGTTAAGTCCGAATTCGATTAAAATATAAAATCTTTTAAATTAATAATAATTAAATCATAAACAATCGAATTCAAACATAACAGCAATGATCAAAATTGTCCCCACATTGTTTTCTTTATACAATTTTCCTGTGATCAATTAATTCGGCCGCTTCATGAAACTTTTATACTGATGCTGAAAAATTTTCTGTTATTTAAATAAAAATAAAAAAGCATATTTTAATAAAATAAAAACAAATTCCAGCGTTCTACAATTTATTATTAAAAAATTATTATTTACAGATTAAATTTTACTACTTTTGAGGCAAAATTTTCGAATTTTAATTAAAGAAATTTTCTTCAAAAATAGTGAAAGCTAATTTAAAAATAGCAATTTCTAATAGAGCAATTTAATTAATTTAATTTAATTCTAATAGCAATTTCTATTTTTTTATCAAAAAATAGATTTTATTTAATTTTCCGTTTATCAAAAAAAATTTCTCAATGAAAAAGAGAAACATTATTGATTAGTGTAAAAAACGAGAAATTGATTCTTATTTAAAAAAAAAGATAAAAATATTCAGTGCAGAAAAAATTATAAAAATTCATTTAATAAAAATTTTCATTTTATTATTTTTAAAGGTTATGAATTGAAAAAAAAATTTCCTACTTTACATTTATATTTTTTTAATAACTAATTATTTAATATGTTTTCATATTTAAATTATTTATTAAATCAATGAATTAAAAGAAACTTTATGTAAAATTCTTATTTTTTTTAACATAACCACTTTTTAGATTTGTTTTTTTATTACAAACATTTTTTTTTACTTACCAATATAAAAATATTTGTCACCTCACTTTAATCACTAACTTTTTTCACCATTCATTACAATTTTTTAAAAATTTTAATGTATTTTTAACTTTAATGTAATGGTAAACATTAAACTGTTTAATGTTTACAACGATGACCAACGATGACATCAAAACACATGTCAATTTTTTAGGCATGGGATATAGAAACTCAAGTTTGACAAAAAATTATCATTTTTCTGCAGCAACTTCAGGGGGAAGGCATTCGTAAACAAGTTCACGAAAAAATCGTGAACTCGCGAGTGTCAGTAGTATGCGCAGTTCGTAATGCGCATCAAATACGGCTGATCAAGCATTCATCATTCAGTCGGTGTCATCGGTGTTTACATTCGGGAAAATTCTTTGATGAAAGTTATTATTTAGAATCAGTGTTTTTTATTACTTAGCGAATATTTTTGTTTGCTAATTTCCTTTGTGAAACAAATAATTCATAAAATGAATTAAAAGTTACGATAAGGGACTTTTTCTACTTTGCACGGTCCTGAGTTTTACAGCAGACAAAGCTAATCGTTTCGTTTGTCGAAGGACAGTGTATCTAGATTTAGCCGTGGCGGTTAGTTGTTAGAAATATTATGTTATAGGGGATAGGTACTAGGTTCGAATCCCGTGAAGCGAATTACGAATTTTAATGGCGATAAAATTGTGTATTCTGTGTAGTTGGATGCGTAATAGGCGTCAAGTTATCAAATAAAGTGAAATACTATAAAAAAGTAGTGTCTGGAAATTATTTTTTCTTGTTTTTAGCATTTTTTAAAAGTTCACGAATTTTTCGTTAACTTTGACGAAAAGTTCGGAAACCGTACTATGTTTCTAGTGAAGGAGTTGATGAAATTTTGACGAACTGTGTTTGTTGATTTTCAAGAATTTTGTGTCCCATCCAAAAGTGATATACTAGTTCACGAGAGATTCGCGTGAACTTTTTTTTTCCGTGTAATAACTAAACAATAATAAATAAAACAATTATTTGTGGAAAGATGTATTTTTTATATCATTACTAAAAAAATACATAAGGAGACACACGGTAGTTTTTTGATTATTTTTTGTTTGTATATATTTTGTATAAACTATAGCTTTCGTTCAAAAATATTTTTAGTGCTGAGTGATTTCGTTAAAAATAGTTAATTTAAAAATAAAAAGAAGTTTAAAAATAAAAATTAAAATAGTTAATTATATTTTAAAAATGAAAATTTAAAGTATTATTTATAATATAGGAATACAAAGAAATCTAAAACTAAAATCTAAAACTAATCTAATCTAATTATCTTATTATAATGATTGTAGATCAAAAGTTCTACACAAAAAGTTCCAAAACAAATGTTCCAATCCGAAAGTTCCAAAATAAAAATGAATCAAAAGACAAAAGTTCCAAAAAAAATAGTGCCAAAACACGAAAGTTCCAATATAATTTTCAATGTAATGAGGAGCAATTGAGATAAACACATTCAAAGCATTCGTTAGAAATCGATTTATTATCAATGTTCAATTTTAAAAAAAAATTATTACCAAAGATTTTTCAATTTAAAAAATATTTCAGCCTAACCTTGATGAAAACCTTTAAATTCCCTTATTACAATAGACTTTAATTACAAACAGAACGTTTTAAATAGAAAAAAATATTCAATAATAAATAATTTATTCAGGGTGTCAACTACTTCCCGGTTAACTGGGAAATAGTCGGGAAATGAAATATCTAAATAACATTTTTATCAAATCGTGTGCTATGTAAGGAAACAGCTTGGTCGGAGAATTTTACCTAAGCATTCAGTATTAGAAGAAATAATTTTTCTCATGTTTGAAATTAAAAAATTAATTTCTGTTTTATTTATAAAGTGTTACTTTATAGCTTTTTTATAAAAAGATTTACTATTTGAAGGGTGGCATGATAAAAGGGGTTTATCAGATTTTAAAAGCTTACTCCTCATATATGTAAAAAGTACAAAAATTTTAAAAAACATTAATGATTCAAAAAATGTATGAAAGAGACAAATATGAATAGGGAGAGAAAGTTAAAAGACAATATTATGACTAATATTGTGGTCTTTGGAAAAAAAAGTTTTGAAAAAAAGAACTTTTGGAACTTTCAGTCTTTGGAAATTAAAATCTTTTGAACTTTTTTTCATTGGAACTTCTGTTTTGGAACTTTAGTCCTTCATAACCATTATAGCAGAAAAACAAAAGAAAACCTATTGTGAGCATATGCCTTAAAACATAAAGTATATTATGGTCATTTACATTAATTTGCTTTGAAAATTGAAAGAAATATTATAATTATATAATTATAAAATACAAAAAAAAAATATGTATAAGTTAAAAAAAATTATTAACATTTAAACAAATGAAGTAAAAATTATTATTGTTGTTAAGTTACCAAAGATGATACTAAATGTAATAACATTGAAATTATTATTTTACTACTAAATAAATAATATGTGGACGTCCATATGAAAGGGCCCATTTTGGCACTATTGGAGTTATCTATATGGGCGTATTCCTGGCAAAATTTGGAAAATTTTGAGTGGTCTTAGAACTTTTTTGATTAAAAATTCG